TATATATATGTGTGTGTGTGTGTGTGTGTATGTGTGTGTGTGTGTGTGTGTGTGTGTCGATATATATATATATATATCTATGTATATATAATATATATATAAATATATACATAAATATATATTATATTTATATATATATATATATAAAATATATGTATGTATATTGGCCAATTGTCTTACTTACCTTCCTTAGCAGCGCGCACAGCGGCCTGGTCGACGTAGTAGGCAGTTGCCGCCTTGATTTCTCGACGCTATAATGGGGGGAAATGTAGAAGAGCAAAAACATAAGATAATTTACAGGTTGATCTCGATACTAAACACCCTATAGGAGCCAAATATATACATGCAAGCATAATATGCATATATGCGTGTGTTCAATTTATTCCAGTTTACTATACGCCATTTCGCTTTTCGGATCTACCGGAAGTACATGTAGTGAGTACCGCCTGAGCCAAAGGTGATGACACAGAAAGTTTCCATGTATGTAAATGATTACATATACGGGAATACGCATATATAATCACATATACACTTACGTGTGCATAAGGACATACAAGTAAATAAGAAAATATAAGTATTTATGTACATATACAAAGTAAATGTACACTTTCAAATGAACATGTTGCTTTGTTCTATATCAATGTATATGCACATATGTATGTATGAATTGACCAACACACTTACGAAAAAAAGTTAACTGCCAACAAACGTGCATATACGAAGCCTTCAGAAACCTACCTGTTTGAGATCGGATTCGGTTGTGTCACGAGAAAGTGAGACATACTCCACCTCTCTCTGGGTCATCTCGCAAAAGGCCATAACCAGTCGTCGCCGTTGTGACCCAGGCGCACCAATCAGAAACATATCCTGCCCTGCGATACGCGGGATAAAAATAAATCGACGAGCGATAGATCAGTCGTAGACTGGGAGGTAAAACCATGCAGATTTATTCATTCATATATCCCGAACAACCGTGACAAAAGTGGGTCGAGGAGAAATGAATCAATCAGAACAATAACAGCACTCAAATGGATAGTCAAACAGATCAATCCGAAATCGGATAGATAACTAATCATTCCCATAAGTGTGTTAGAACATCAGTTCGAACACCCGTGAATTCGTGATATAGCGCGAATAGAACAGATTAATCAGAAACCTGGATCGATGACCATCCATATGAGTAGAGACCAGTCCTTTAAACCAATAGTGAATCTAAATCAAAGGACTACTGGATGGCCTGTCGTTTATGCGTGGACAAGGAGTACACCAGCGTATACTCATTAAACAACATTGATAGTTTATATGTTTGCAATATGCATGAAGAAACCAGTAGCTCAGCCACACCTCGACGTGTGAGCTTATTCAGATTGTGAGCAGTACAACCAACATGTTTATAACGGTGGGGGTGTATATATGGATATGCACATACAAAATCCGGTTCGTATATGGATATAGAAATAGACGTACAAAAATGTGACAGTCATACTCGCACACTCAAGTTGTATCAGCTGGAGTGTCGCATGCTGTAAAGCTTGGTTGAGGAACATTGCACTTTCTCTCGGGCTTTGACAATGATTCTGCAGGTGTACATGGCAGGCAATACAACAAAAACATGAACGTATAAAATTCGTCCCGGGATGTTATACTACTGTATAATAAGGAATACGCAAGAGAACAATCGATACACGCGGCTAGATTGGATATTATAGGATACACACAAGCATGAACACAATGCGAGCAACTGGTACGTAGCTATTTGGACGAGGAATAGTTCAAAATACGACCGCTTGCGTACAGAAAATGACACATGCCGCATGTGTCCTGGGATAAACTTCATGTGCGCATGGTATGTTTGTATGCTACATATGGTTGGATTATCATCATAATCCTATAGAGCTGCAGCAAACACCGCTGTCACTTGAAAGATGACATAAACAAACAGAGTACGTTTCAAACTCCAAGCACGGAAAACTACGCGGATTGAATAAGCTGTAGTGCTTCAGAATTAGAATGTCGCCTTAGAATGCCGCTTTTACAATACTACCTCGTGATCTAAGTAAGTTAAATTCGAATTCCTGGTGCACGATTTCTATACCGACATCCTCCACACCAGTGATTCGACAGTAGAAATGCAGACTTGCTTGTTTATCAACTATGAATGCAACACAATGCTTAAAAGAACAGCTACATACAGCTACGGATATCGACAACTATATATATACATTTATATATATATATATATATATACATATATATATAGTCGTATGGACGGACAAAAGGAGCCCACGCTTGTGTGAATACACGCACATACTATGGTCGCAGCCCTACTCACCCAGTTTATCCTTCTGCAGCATCCATCGCATATGTTTAAGCAGATTCTGCGGCAGTTCATCGCCCAGATACTTGGTTGGGACCAGCAATGGATTCTTTGGCGATATAATTTTATGAGTTAATCCTCCCAATTCTATAACAGGCTGATTGCTTACATTGCCGCCTGTGTCTTTGCTATATGTCCGGCATATCGATGTGCCTCGTATGGTACCTGCCATGCGTGTAGAAACTACGGCGGCACGTCTGGCGTGTGCCAACAACATCGCGATAACACGCACCTATCTGTGGATCTCCGAAGTTATATTACAAAGTGAATACGGACACCACTATCGTTTACTATCGTTTATCTGTAACTGCGAATGTTCATTTGCAACGCAGTTTGTTTATCCAAAATTTATTCTGAAATATTTATTCTAAAATTTGTGAAATGTGAAGTGACGATGATAAAAAAGCCGAGGCTCAGAACTTCATAATGGCTGTCATGCGTGACACGGAATCGGGTTGGTCAAGCATCACATGTAAAATAAATACGTTCGTAATCTGTACATATGATATATATAATATAGTTGCGCGTTGCATGTACTGGAATTTGCCATCGGAGAAGTGCACAAACAAGTTAACAACGCGCCTTGAAGAATTTATATACCTTGATATTCTGCACTCATTTAGTTGAACGCTGACCCCTTCCCCACCTCCCACCTTCCCCCCCCATATGATCACAATATGTTGATTGTCAAGCGATCATAGTCGGTTAGACCAACTGTACTTGAAAACAGCTGTGGAACGACTGTCAATCTCGGCCACGTCTATCGGGGAAGCGTAAATAGGCACTTCAAGGCTCGGACTCGATATTTTTCATAGCAAAGATCTTATAAAAATGCGTGTTGTTGTGAAGGGGAATTTTTGTTATTTTAGAAATTGATTTTAGACTATGGTGTACGGTTAAAAAAGAGAAACAACGTCTATTATAAACTACAATACATACCGATAACTATTAAAGAGCAGCCGCATGCTGCATAGTAGCGTACAGTAATGCCAAAGGTATAACGACATACAGCAAATTCGTCAGCAGCTGACCGCATCAAACTTATTTGTACAACTTCGTTCGCGACAGGAAATCTATGACGAACACCTCCGCTGTTGGTCACCAGTTTTACCGCAGTCTCCATGCGTTCTATTCTGATACCCATATATTTGATTGATATTCAGATCATTACCAAATGAAGCTGAGTGAATAAAGGCATACATAGAAAGATCATCGTGAGGTTTTGTAAGTGTAATCCGAAGCACGGCAGTATCCCTAAAATCCACATGCGAAACTACCAACAAGCAAAATGAAAAACCTTTCATTTGCTTTAGAAATGATATCGGATGTAATCGATTCATCGGCTACGAGGGTGTTTGTAAGTGCGAGTGCCAAACTCGCTTAAAATCCTTTCGTACAAAAAGTAAAATTGGGGCAGAGATTTCGAGCAATAATGGCAGTATTTGATTATCTCAGCTTTGTTCATCATATACTTCAGTACATAAACTGAACTAAACGAATTATACTTGTCCTGGGGCTACCTGTTCGACGAAATGATTGCATACGCCCTTTTGATTGTAGCCGCGCAACTATGTTCCGCTCAGATGACGGACTTATACCGTCAATTCATCGTCGACGAGCATAACCGGGTTCGTGCCACTGTTCAAGCGAGAAAACTCTATGAGCTGGAATATGACTATACACTGGAATGCACAGCCCAAACTTTCATCGAGCGTTCGAGTGGCAAGTATGTTTTTGCCATCCAATTCTTGCATGGATATGATTTCAACACCTACGCTTCTATACTGCGCCTAAATGCGCTACGCTGTGTCAACAAATAGAAATTATTACGATCATCGCGTATTAAAGTACTCTTGTTTTTGTCCTGAGTAGAGAGCAGTGTATAAATCTAGGCTGTGGGTACAGTATAATGAATACAGATTGTAACCATGAGTGAGATGAACGATAATGCATGTTTCATTGTGGGAACGTGCTATAGCTCACAGGTTCCATCATTGTACATACAGATTCACGGCGCACAACAACCAAACTCAAACAGACTATGCTAATTGTGCAACAAATGGGGCCGCGGCGCCAAGATTTATAGGTGAAAATTTCTTCTCGGGGGCGCCGAAACATGGGGGATCTATTAAGGGTGCCGTGAATGCCTGGTGTGACTTTGAATGGAGTGGATGCACGGAAAGAGAAGCTCTGGCGGCGAACAATAATGACACACTGGCCTTATTGCCAGGTCAAACGATCCGAGCTGAGTGTGCGGGCGCTGTGCAGGGCCATTTTACTCAATGCCTTATTGAGGTATGTCAATTAATAATTGCTGGTGGAATTTTGTTCGCGATTGTTGAATTGTTGTCTTGCTTCGTATTTTCAGATAGGACTATCGTAATACTTGCTCGGTGTAGGCCATATATAACAGCACAGTCATCTGCCCTATCAAGCAGCCACAAACGTCGTGAAACATGAATATGTCAGATATGCTTAAGCCTCAAGTGAATTGCTTTTACAAAATCAGTGCAAAAAAATATCGGTCTGTATATTACGAATTACTGTGTTGATACCAATAATTATGTATTTATTTACATGTTACATATCTGTTTTATAGACGTAAAAATACACACAAAATAGTGACATCGAAAATAGTAAATACGTTCTGACTCAGATGATGGAAACAAAAATACTGACAGCTTTTGCTCTGCTGTGACTTGAACAGAACACTCTCACATGCGATTATGATCAAAGTGGATGAGATCTTCGTTTTTATTTGATCATTATACATAAGTTAATTAAAAACAAACGAACTACAATTAACCATCCATTTTCTGGTCTACGCGATAACGACCGAATTACAGGGTGCTCGTAAGGTTGGATGCTGGTACACTAAATCATTCGGTACAGTATGCAACTATGATTATGGTAATATTAGAGGGGTGCCATATGTCACTTACGGTGAACCTTGCAGTCAATGCGCAGCTGACTCCGAGTGTAGGCTAGGATTGTGTCGGTGTAATGCTGACGGTCTATGCTTCAAATCGAGGTACGAATCTACAATATTCATATCCGACACTACGTCGACCTTGGAAATCACCCCGAGTTCAGCCGTTACTACAAGCGAAAATACGGTAGATCCGAAAATCACCCCGGAGGACGGTAGTAAAGACATCGACAACAGAGCACCTGGACCGGGCATAGAATTGGCATCCGCCAGTGCGTTTATAGCAGTACTATTCCTAATCGCCTGCATCCAGCTATTTATTTATTTTTAGAAAAAATACAATCAACTAAATTTTAAAATGTAAATATGTAAATTTATTCATATTTATATATTTATTATAGCCTTTGTTTAAATAATTTAGAAGGCTATGATTTACTTATTTTTTGTCATTTTTTTTAAATAAACTCTAAATATTTCTATTTTTTTCCATGACGCTCTGGAATTGTCGGTCTCTCAGAAATGATTTTCTCTCACGACAACCCTTATTTCATCCAGCAACAATTTCTAGAGGGGGGGGGGGGGGGG